ATAGACCTGGTGTCTCCTCTCGTGCTGTGAGTTGTGTGCACTGCATAGACCTGGTGTCTCCTCTCCTGCTATGAGTTGTGTGCACTGCATAGACCTGGTGTCTCCTCTCGTGCTGTGAGTTGTGCTCACTGCATAGACCTGGTGTCTCCTCTCGTGCTGTGAGTTGTGTGCACTGCATACACCTGGTGTCTCCTCTCCTGCTATGAGTTGTGTGCACTGCATAGACCTGGTGTCTCCTCTCGTGCTGTGAGTTGTGAGCACTGCATAGACCTGGTGTCTCCTCTCCTGCTATGAGTTGTGTGCACTGCATAGACCTGGTGTCTCCTCTCCTGCTGTGAGTTGTGCACACTGCATAGACCTGGTGTCTCCTCTCCTGCTATGAGTTGTGTGCACTGCATAGACCTAGTGTCCTCCTCTCGTGCTGTGAGTTCTGCGCACTGCATAGACCTGGTGTCTCCTCTCCTGCTGTGAGTTGTGCGCACTGCATAGACCTGGTGTCTCCTCTCCTGCTGTGAGTTGTGCGCACTGCATAGACCTGGAGTCTCCTCTCGTGCTGTGAGTTGTGTGCACTGCATAGACCTGGTGTCTCCTCTCGTGCTGTGAGTTGTGCGCACTGCATAGACCAGGTGTCTCCTCTCGTGCTGTGAGTTGTGCGCACTGCATAGACCAGGTGTCTCCTCTCGTGCTGTGAGTTGTGCACTGCATAGACCAGGTGTCTCCTCTCGTGCTGTGAGTTGCGCACTGCATAGACCAGGTGTCTCCTCTCGTGCTGTGAGTTGTGCACTGCATAGACCAGGTGTCTCCTCTCGTGCTATGAGTTGTGTGCACTGCATAGACCTGGTGTCTCCTCTCGTGCTGTGAGTTGTGCGCACTGCATAGACCTGGTGTCTCCTCTCATGCTGTGAGTTGTGCACACTGCATAGACCTGGTGTCTCCCTCGTGCTGTGAGTTGTGCACACTGCATAGACCTGGTGTCTCCTCTCCTGCTGTGAGTTGTGCACACTGCATAGACCTGGTGTCTCCTCTCGTGCTGTGAGTTGTGCACTGCATAGACCTGGTGTCTCCTCTCCTGCTGTGAGTTGTGTGCACTGCATAGAGCAGGTGTCCCCTCTCGTGCTGTTAGTTGTGTGCACTGCATAGACCAGGTGTCTCCTCTCGTGCTGTGAGTTGTGCACTGCATAGACCTGGTTTCCTCCTCTCGTGCTGTGAGTTGTGCGCACTGCATAGACCAAGTGTCCTCCTCTCGTGGTGTGAGTTGTGTGCACTGCATAGACCTGGTGTCCTCCTCTCGTGCTGTAAGTTGTGTGGACTGCATAGACCTGGTATCTGCCTCTCGTGCTGTAAGTTGTGTGGACTGCATAGACCTGGTATCTGCCTGTCATGCTGTGAGTTGAGCACACTGCATAGACCTGGTGTCTCCTCTCGTGCTCTGCATAGACCAGGTGTCTCCTCTCGTGCTGTGAGTTGTGTGCACTGCATAGACCAGGTGTCTCCTCTCGTGCTGTGAGTTGTGTGCACTGCATAGACCAGGTGTCTCCTCTCGTGCTGTGAGTTGTGCGCACTGCATAGACCAGGTGTCTCCTCTCGTGCTGTGAGTTGTGCGCACTGCATAGACCAGGTGTCTCCTCTCCTGCTGTGAGTTGTGCACTGCATAGACCTGGTGTCTCCTCTCGTGCTGTGAGTTGTGCACTGCATAGACCAGGTGTCTCCTCTCGTGCTATGAGTTGTGTGCACTGCATAGACCTGGTGTCTTCTCTCCTGCTGTGAGTTGTGTGCACTGCATAGACCTGGTGCCCCCTCTCATGCTGTGAGTTGTGCGCACTGCATAGACCAGGTGTCTCCTCTCGTGCTGTGAGTTGTGTGCACTGCATAGACCAGGTGTCTCCTCTCGTGCTGTGAGTTGTGTGCACTGCATAGACCAGGTGTCTCCTCTCGTGCTGTGAGTTGTGTGCACTGCATGGACCTGGTGTCTCCTCTCGTGCTGTGAGTTGTACACACTGCATAGACCTGGTGTCTCCTCTCGTGCTGTGAGTTGTGTGCACTGCATAGACCTGGTGTCTCCTCTCCTGCTGTGAGTTGAGTGCACTGCATAGACCTGGTGTCTCCTCTCCTGCTGTGAGTTGTGCACACTGCATAGACCTGGTGTCCCCTCTCGTGCTGGGAGTTGTGTGCACTGCATAGACCTGGTGTCTCCTCTCGTGCTGTGAGTTGTGTGCACTGCATAGACCTGGTGTCTCCTCTCCTGCTATGAGTTGTGTGCACTGCATAGACCAGGTGTCTCCTCTCCTGCTGTGAGTTGTGCACACTGCATAGACCTGGTGTCTCCTCTCCTGTTGTGAGTTGTGAGCACTGCATAGACCTGGTGTCTCCTCTCCTGCTGTGAGTTGTGCACATTGCATAGACCTGGTGTCTCCTCTCGTGCTTTGAGTTGTACACACTGAATAGACCTGGTGTCTCCTCTCGTGCTGTGAGTTGTGTGCACTGCATAGACCTGGTGTCTCCTCTCGTGCTGTGAGTTGTACACACTGCATAGACCAGGTGTCTCCTCTCGTGCTGTGAGTTGTGCGCACTGCATAGACCTGGTGTCTCCTCTCCTGCTGTGAGTTGTGCACTGCATAGACCTGGTGTCTCCTCTCGTGCTGTGAGTTGTGCACTGCATAGACCAGGTGTCTCCTCTCGTGCTGTGAGTTGTGTGCACTGCATAGACCCTCTCGTGCTGTGAGTTGTGCACTGCATAGACCTGGTTTCCTCCTCTCGTGCTGTGAGTTGTGCGCACTGCATAGACCAAGTGTCCTCCTCTCGTGGTGTGAGTTGTGTGCACTGCATAGACCTGGTGTCTCCTCTCGTGCTGTGAGTTGTGCACTGCATAGACCTGGTGTCTCCTCTCGTGCTGTGAGTTGTGCACACTGCATAGACCTGGTGTCTCCTCTCGTGCTGTGAGTTGTGTGCACTGCATAGACCAGGTGTCTCCTCTCGTGCTGTGAGTTGTGCGCACTGCATAGACCTGGTGTCTCCTCTCCTGCTGTGAGTTGTGCACTGCATAGACCTGGTGTCTCCTCTCGTGCTGTGAGTTGTGCACTGCATAGACCAGGTGTCTCCTCTCGTGCTGTGAGTTGTGTGCACTGCATAGACCAGGTGTCTCCTCTCGTGCTGTGAGTTGTGTGCACTGCATAGACCTGGTGTCCCCTCTCGTGCTGTGAGTTGTGCGCACTGCATAGACCTGGTGTCTCCTCTCCTGCTGTGAGTTGTGCGCACTGCATAGACCAGGTGTCTCCTCTCGTGCTATGAGTTGTGCGCACTGCATAGACCTGGTGTCTCCTCTCGTCCTGTGAGTTGTGCACACTGCATGGAACTGGTGTCTCCTCTCATGCTGTAAGTTGTGTGCACTGCATAGACCTGGTGTCTCCTCTCGTGCTGTGAGTTGTGCGCACTGCATAGACCTGGTGTCTCCTCTCGTGCTGTGAGTTGGGCGCACTGCATAGACCAAGTGTCCTCCTCTCGTGGTGTGAGTTGTGTGCACTGCATAGACCTGGTGTCCTCCTCTCATGCTTTAAGTTGTGTGCACTGCATAGACCTGGTGTCTCCTCTCATGCTGTGAGTTATGCGCACTGCATAGACCTGGTATCTGCCTGTCATGCTGTGAGTTGAGCACACTGCATAGACCTGGTGATTGGTGACTTTGGATAGGAAGACTCGGTGCCTTGTTTGCTACCTGTTGTATACAGGAGACGTCTCTGGCAGGAGGCGCCATCTTGTTACCAGAAAATCCAGGTGGGAAGGGACCAGGCTGCGGTCCCTCGTCCTGCGGGACTAGTATGGGATATCAGCCAGTTCTTCCCTGTGAGGACATGTAGTCTGAGGCTACCCCTGAAACACGTGGCGCTAACCATAGCCAACCTGTGTCTTTGTCCTAGGTCGCCGAGGAGGATGCTGAGGTGGACGCGGAGCCCGCCGCAGAGGACACTGCGGAAGAAGTAACCGTACGTGCTTTGTCATGACCTCGTCATGGGGGAGACGGGGCGGGGGGTGGAGCAGGGAGAGGGGACATGGATGTTCGAACCTGATGGCCTGTGGGTGGTCATTTTAGTGAAATCCGTGTGCATACACATGTGCACACACAAACACACACATCACACCCACGTATTGTGTGCACATTATGTCTGATAATTTCCCTCAGCAGGAACAGTTAGAACATGGGAAACCATAAGCCATGGCTAAATGCGCAGGCTCCGGTGTGGACTTTTGATGGGGGTTGGGGGGTTCTCAATCCGGGCAGGTGCGGGGAACGGCTGGCGGGTGTGGGGAAAGGCCGGCGGGGCCTCTCTGGAGGTTGCGTGCGGCAGCCTCTGGAGATGTCTCGTGCTTAGTCAGAGCTCAGCAGAAGTGGCCCCGTTGGGGGACACGGGCTTGGGGGCAGGCGCAAGGCAAGAGGCAGGCCTGGGTGGCGGGAGGCCGGTGGGAAGGGGTGAGGCCGGCCCGGAGGGAGAGACGGGCGCTGCTCCCAGGGTCAGACCCGGGAAGGAAGAAAGCGCACGCGGCCCGGCTGCAGGTGTCCCCGCCCTGGCCCTCGCCGCGTAGGAGCCTGCTCCGACCTGAGCGACGGAAAACTGGCTGCGACTCTGATACACTGAGAATTTTCCTGCAGCGTAGCTGTCCCGGGGAGGGGCTGGCAACACAGAGCGTCTGAGGGAGACGCTGGGCCTGGAAGCGCTAAGTCAGAAGGTGGGGTGGGGGATCCCAGCCGCCGGCTTTGTCTCTGACCCTGACTCAGGGACTTTCCCAGAGCCGGCGGGAGCCCCGGAGCCTGACCCGTCCGTCTGCAAGACTCAGCACCCCGGGGCTCGGCTGTGAACCGTAAGGGCTACAGACTTGCAACGCTGCCGGCTTTTAAGGCAGCGGGGAGACAGCACAGACGCAGAGGCCGGAATTGGTGAGCGTTTCTGGTCTCACGAAAGGCTCAGATGCTGAAAACTGCATTTCGCCACCGTCTAAGCCTGTGCACTCCGATGCAAAATGCAAGCCAAGGTGGCTGGCCCGGGTGGCGTCATGTGGTGGCTGAATAAGGAAGCGTGGCCTCAGGCTGTCTCACCTGCAGCCGGAGCCTGCACCTGGGTCCCTGCTGTTGTCGCAGCCGTGGGGTCCGCAGTGCACCTGTCTCCTAGTCTGTGGCGATCTTGCTGGTCCTCCAGCAAAACGCTCAGCTGGGCCTCACACCTTGCCTTCCGGGGGTGGCGGAGGACGGGGAGTCCTGCTGCTTTAGCGAAGTTCCACGGAGGTCAAAGGGTAAAGAGACGTGTGTGACTCGGTGACTTTCCTGAGATGGGGAAGGACGTTTGGTTTGATGCCTGCCAGGTAGAGGGGGACGCAGGAAGGAGTGGCCTCCATGCCAAGGCACAGGGCCTGGGGGCTCGCAGAAGCAAGCCCTGGCCTCCGTCGGTGGCAGCTCCTTGCCAGGCACCTGCAGGAACTCTGGTTTCCTGGCAACTGCAGTGTGTTTCCTGCAGGCAGGTCAGGTTGGCAGCTGGCTCCAGGAGCACTAAGACAACACAGGTGCTGTAGACTCTCCGTTCTATTAGGCCCAAACCGAGCAGCAAGATGTGACGTGGTGTCCTGGTCCCTTCAGGCTGATATAACAGAATGGCAGAGACTGAGCAGCTCATAAACAACAGAAATTTACTCTTCCCAGTTCTGGAGCCCAGGAAGTCCAAGGTCAAGGTGCTGACAGATTGGGAGTCTGGTGAGGGCCTGGTTCCTGGTCCCTGGACGGCCACCTTCTCAAGGTGGAAGGAGTGAGGGGGCCCCCTGAGGCCCCTTTCATAAGGGCCCTAGTCCTGTTTATGAGGCTCCACCCTCGTAACCTAATTGCCCCCAAACGCCCTGCCTTCTTGGTGGTTAGGATTTCAACGTATCAGTTTTGGGGGGATGCAGACATTCAGACCACAGCACATGACACGCCCCAAAGTACCCAAGCAACTAACAGAGAATGCTTCAATTCATTAGCAGTGTTTTTTGTTTTGTTTTGTTTTGAGACAGAGTCTCACTTGTTTCCCCCGAGTCTCACTTGTGTGAAGCTCACAGCAACCTTAAACTCCTGGTCTCAAGGATCCTCCTGCCTCAGCCTCCCGAGTAGCTGGGACTACAGGCATGCACCACCATGCCCGGCTAATTTTTTCTATATATTTTTAGTTGGCCAATTAATTTGTTTCTATTTTTAATTGAGATGGGGTCTCCCTTTTGCTCAGGCTGGTTTCGAACTCCTGACCTAAAGCAATCTGCTCACCTGGGCCTCCCAGAGTGCTAGGATTATAGGCGTGAGCCACCGCGCCCGGCCCATTAGCAATGTTTATCTTCTAAGACTGCCTAGTTTGAAGTTGCCTTATCCTCAATATTTTGATGGAAAACTAAATGTGAATCTATTACAGGAAGGCAATAAAAACAGCTGACCTCATTAAAAGTTATTTTTGATGATGCAATATGCGATAGAGCAGATTATTACTATTTCCTGATGTTCCCCATGTCTGGATGGTAGAAAATCAGTGCCTTCGGTGCTTAATAACCGAAAGAAGAGTTCCCAACAAAGCTTAGGAGTATTTGCAAGACCGTGATATTGACACTTAGACACATTTGTAGTGTTCGTGGGAATCATACAAAACACTGGAGAAAATCACCTGTTCACTTAATGTTTCTGATAGATGATGTTGGAAATTCGACACACACTTTTTCAGTCTAGCTGCAGATGAATGCCATGCAGGTGTTCTATGCTGTTGGCTGATTTCTGTCAGAGATGAGCTGTTCTTCCTGCATCCTCCGTGGCCTTGGGCGTGGTAGTGAGCTGGGGGTCCTGTAAGAAGGGTCTGTGGCTCGGATCAAAGTGGGAATTCTGTGGCAGCCGAACTGAGTGCAAAAGGTTCTACCAGAGTGGACAGGTATGATCGTTAGAAAGTCACCTTACTTAGGGAAAAAAAAAAAAAAACCCATCCCACTCAACAATGGTTTTCTCATTCATTTATTCAATAGAGAATATTTACAGATAACCAGCGGGCCAAACCTCATGCTCAACGCTGAGTAGTGAAAAGGTGGGTGAGGCTTGTCTCGTAAGAGTCCAAGGAGAGAACTTGTAATCACTGCACCTTGTAATCACTTCAGTCAATGTGGATATTTTATGGAATTTCCCTCTTACATGTGTTTTAAGCACAGAGCACACGTGGGATATGTTTAGCACGAGTAGCTCCGTGTGCGATTCTTCCCCAGTTGCATCTCGCGTCCTGGTCCTGTCCGACTTCCAACGAAAAGGGCCCGGCGAAGGCCCGGCGCGCAGACGGACGTGAGACGGGGTCTGCCCTTGTGCCTGAGCGAGACGTGTGTCTCCTCCCGTTGCCACGGAAAGGCGTCCTCTCCCAGGAAGTGGGCTTGGACGCGGGGTGGGGGTCGTGTTGTAGATTCACGGGGCGGCGGCTCTGAGCTTAGTTTCTGGGGAAAACTCAGAGGCAGGCGTCGAAAATCTAGGAGAAAAATGTGTCCCGCGAACACACGAGGTGCCTGCTCCGCGCGGCTTTGCGAGCCTCCCGCTTCCTGCTCTCCTTTCGCAGGCGGGGCGCTGGGGAGTTGTGCCGCCCGGGGAGTTGAAAGTGGAAGGCAGGGAGCAGACGCGTGGCTCGAGCAGGTGCTGCCCTGCAGGGTTAACTGAGTGACTTTTTTATAAGTCCGGAGGTGACCCGCTGCCTCGCTGTCCGGGAACCCCATTTAGGGGCTGTGCCAAGAGAGCTCGTGAGACTTGCGACCTGCACCGCCACACAGCGCCCGGTTAGTCACCTGTGCAGGGCAGGAGGTATGAGGTGGCCGGCGCACACCTCTTGAAGTGCTGTGCAGGGGGGGGGGCAGGGAGGGACGGGGACGTGGTGGCCAGGGAGTCAGGAGAGCCCCTGTGCAGCGTGCTGGGCCAGGAGGCGCCGGACCAGCCGGTTCCCACCACACGGGGCCGCGTCTCCCGACGGCCGGGCGCCAGACTCCGGCCTCTGCACTATTCGGTCACCTTTGGTCTCTCCGTGCTCTTAGACGCACAGGTGACTTAGGTGAGTGTTCATTGCACACAGCGACCTCTGAAGCACATGAGAATTTGTTGCATGTGTTTTTTGAGGCGCTTAGATTTTGCGGTCATGTTCACTAGTAACCGTAAAGGCCGTTTCTCGTATCTGGTCGACTTCAGGGAGCCAGCTCCAGGGAAGCAGGTGCACACATCGGCGAGTGTGCGCCTCCTCGGGGCTGCGGGGGTTTCCCACATCCCTCAGATCTCACTCTCTCTTTTGATAGGAGAACAGAAGGTATCTGCGCGTGTGTGCGTGTGTGTGAGTTCAGTGTGTGTGAGTGTGTGCGTGTGTGCATGTGCGCGCGTGTGAGTGTACATGTGTGCACGTGAGAGGGTGTGTACATGTGTGCATGTGTGTGAGTTCAGTGTGTGTGCATGTGCATGTCTGTGAATGTGTCTGTGTGCATGTACATGCACATGCGTGTGTGCATGTGTGCGAGTGTGCATGTGTACATATGTGTGTGCACACATGTGTTCGCATGTGTGCACGTGTGTGCCAGTGTGTGTGTATGAGTGTGTGTGTGTGAGTGTGTGTGCACGTGCCAGTGTGTGTGCGAGTGTGCATGTGCGTGTGCGTGCATATGCATGTGTGCGTGCATGTGTGCACACATGTGTGTGCATGTGTGTGCATGTGAGTGTGTGTGTACGTGCCAGTGTGTGTGCATGAGTGTGTGTGCGTGTGTGTGTGCGTGTGTGTGTGTGTGTGTTGGGGGCGGCACTCCCTGTTGCCAGCCATCAGTAGGCAGGAAAGTGCTACAGGGGACCACGGGGGTTTGCTGGGGCTCCGGAAGCCAGACGCCAGTCTCGTGACAATCTCTGGGAGCAGGAGAGGGTGCTGAAGATGCAGCAGCAGCTAAAGTGTCCAGGAGGGACCCTCAAGCCCGGGCACGGGGC